GGCGGCCGGTGCCGAAATCGGGGAGGTTGCCGTCGGCGTCGGAGAACGTGAGGCCGAGCTGGATCAATTTGAGCATGTCGACGTTGGTTTTTAAGGTTGCGTAGTTGTAATCGGAGGTCGACTTGAAGGATCCGAGAGGTCTGCAGACGACTCCAGGGAACTCGGTGTCCATGGCAACGAAGCGGTAATCGTCGACGATTTCGCTGATTAGGGCAAACTCCGACTCAAGATTCTCGTTCCAGACCTCGCGGATCTGATTTGGGCGGTGATCGACATACGGAACATGGAAATCGGAGCAGAAAGCGGAAGAGATCTGATGAAGGAAATCTAGGGTTGGAAGGGAAACTTTGGGGATTGTTGTTGAAAGAAGGGGGGATTCGTAAATTGGAGGAAATGGGGGGCTTTAGAGAAGAAAGGCACGAATCGGGTCTCGGCCTTCCATCGTTGAAGATCGGAAGGGGGAAGAAAGGGGGAAATGGGGAAGGAAGATATTGCACGATTTGAGCAGGTGCCCCGCAGGAATAGGTTAGTGTTTTTAGTGGAGGGTCTTCATTGGTGGAGAGGAGGAGAGGGGCTTCTGTGGTGGCCGAGTAGAAATGAGACGCGTGGAAGGAGGAGGATAAGATTGGGAATGTGAAACAGAGCAGCTCGGCTGTAGAACCGACGTGAGCCGCTGCGACTGCGGTCGGTGATATTTTTTCAATTTTTCTTTTCTCTTTTATTTAGTGGATAAATTTAAAGAAAATACCCTTTTAGGATTTAATTTTAAAAACCGACCCCTTTTGAAAATATTCGCCATTTTCGATCCAGTTTCAATTACCTTGCTAAAACTAGGTCGAAAATGATAAAAAATATTAAAACTTTACGGAATCTTAAATCTCGTGTAGTTTAAGGTCTCGGTAGCGCCTGGGTTAGCGCTAATGAGCCCTTAAATGAGGCCTTAAACTTTACGGGATTTAAAATCCCGTTGAATTTTTTAATGTTTTTCGGTCACCTTCGATCCAGTTTTAGTCAGGTGGCTGAAACAGCGTTAAAAATGGCAAATATTTTTAAAAAATGTCGTTTTAAAAAATTAAGTTTCTAAATAGGTCTATTTTGAAATTTTATCCTTATTTATTTATGGCTTTTTGGGTTAATTTTTGATGACCACTGGACTACAGGGCCCCGAATAAGCCCCTAGACTATTTTTAATTTTAAGCAACCCCATCAATTATGTGCTATTGCAAAAAAATAAGCCTGAAGTTTAAGATGGTTGGTTTGGGAATTCATGAAAGGTGATGTTTTCCAAAATTAACCCTTTTAATATAAACCCAAAAATTATATGTACTTTTTATGTCAAGAGCTTCGCTATTCTAATAGATATTTTTTTAGTACCAGTGACATAAAATTACAATTAATCTCCTTAATTCTGCTCTCTCTTTCCCAGATAAAAAGTGTTAACTGTTTATAATTGGGTTCCACACCCAATTCGATAATCAATGACAAGCGCAAGGGTAAATTTTTATTTTTAATAGGTCCATCTTCTTGGCGATTTAGCCTTCAAGAGACTCGTAATTGATTATTCAATCATCCTTTTTATTTTAAATTAGATCAAAATAGTTGCAAAAGCTCAAATCTTTAGCAGTTAGCATCAATATGTAAAAGTTTACAACTCTTTTTTTCCCTCTCTTCATCTTTCTCTTGGAACGAGATATTGAGATACGGTACTTCAGGTGTCGATGAATTTAGTGGATTGGCGACTTTCATTCGAAGTATTTTCATAAGAGCTTAAGAAAAGATGAGAAATCTTCGGCTGCGAAAAGTTTTTCACACAGTAACGTGCGAAAATCGTTTTAGGCTGTCGGATTTGAGGGCAACGTTGTCCTCCGTTGGATGAAAGAGGTGTGAACCCCCAGGCGATTTAGAATCTCAAAACCCCCCTCCTGGCTCAATTCGTCCCTAATTTTCTCTCCCCAGCACCCAAACATAATTTTCTCCTCCGCCTTCAACCTCGTCCTCCGCCTTCAGCCGCCGCCCGAAGGATCCTCCTCCGCCTTCAACCTCCTTCAACCGCCGACCAAAGGGTCCTCCTCCGCCTTCAACCTCCTTCTTCAGTCGTCGACCGACAAAGGCCCCTCCTCCTTCAACCTCATTCTTCAGCCGCATCCTCCGCCTTCAGCCGCCGTCCGACAACGAAACCTCCTCCGTCAACCTCCTTCAGCCTTCAGCCGCGTCCTCCGCCATCAGCCGCCGACCGACAACTCCTCCTCCGCCATGGTCCTCCTTCAGCCGTCGATCTCGCCTTCAACCTCCTACAGCCAAAGATCTCGCTGTCGAGCTCCTCTCTCTCTCCTCTCCTCTTTACTCAACTGAGAAACTATCAGGTACGACCTCTTTCCATTTTCCTCTTTTTTTAAGGTTTTCGTGCCTTCAATTTATTTTTCAGATCCTTATCTCTCTAATTAACTTATTTGAAAATGTAGAGCTTAATGTAATATTATATCGAAGATGAATCAGTTCCATCTGAATTAGAATCAAGTGAATTTGATGTGTTTTTATAAAGCTATTGCGATCCCTCCATGATTAGAAGAACTAGTAGTTGTAGAGATCTTCGACATCTACCTGTCATGGCCTTAACTGCCCTTGTCTTGATCAGAAATTGGCACGCTAGCCACTAGAAGGTTGACGAGAAATTGGCAGTCGAAGTTTGAGAATTTGATTTCAGTTATTGGCATTCCTTAAAATTCTCGTCTCAGTGATTTCAGATACTAATTCTCTGTTAGGTGTGAGAAATTTGTGATGGGGTACATGAAAAAGAAGATTTTGTAAGACATAGGCAGTGACAACAATTGTTGTTATGTGATGGTGTCGATTTGCAAACTTACAAGAATTTTATTATTAAATGTAATTATTTGCACCCATTACATAAATCAAATGGGTTGGAACTAAAAACATTCTGACTCCAGATACTTATAAAACTGATGTGGAATTGTATTTTGGAACTTGAAAGCAAATGACATTTGATTTATGCATTTAGCCTGCCCTCGGTCATTTTGAGCCCTCAACAACATAAAGATTTTGTTTGATCATGAAGTAATGTAGATTCCCAATATTAGCATTCATGTTCAGTTTATTAGGTTCAACCAATATCAACATTTGGGCTTGCTCCATAAATTCAATGGAAATTGGTATAGATGGGCAAAGTAATACTGAAACCTTCATCTTATTTAATTTGAAATGTAAAAGCTTGGCCTTGTCATGTATTTGTTTTAATTAGCTTGGTGATGGCGGTCGTGTTGATTGAGTATATGTTTATGCTTTGATCTTTTTAACTCTCTGTATCTGTAGTTGTGGATCATGGAGTCATCTTCAAGCACTTTTTTAACTCTCTGTATCTGTAGTTGTGGATCATGGAGTCATCTTCAAGCACTCGTCGTGGATTGATGTGCCATTGTGGAAGGAGGGCTATACTCTCCATTCATGGAGTCATCTTCAAGCACTCGTCGTGGATTGATGTGCCATTGTGGAAGGAGGGCTATACTCTCCATATCTGGAACTAAGACGAACCCTGGTCGATTGTTTTTAGGATGTGCTAATTGGAAAGTGAGTAATTGTGGCTTCTTCAAATGGGTGTCTGATGAAGAGGAGTTTGAAGGTTCAAAGGCTGGGCTTGTTCAGACGAAGCAGTCGAGCGTGATGTCGCAAGTTTCAAGTGCCGTGTCAATTAGAGAAATGCGGGAAAGGAGAAAGATTGAAATTGATATTATGGATTTGTTGAAGCTTGTTGTATTTGTTCTTTTATTTGGTATTTTTCTTGGATTTGTATATGGTATTTTTATTGGATTTGTGCTAAGTAGGGTGAACTAATGTATTATTGGATGAGTAAGATTTGTATTTGAGTAATAGGTTTCTTATTGCATGTTAAGTTATTACTGGAGACTACTGGGGATTGTAAAACTGACTGTAAAATGTGTATATAAGATATGTATCTCTGGAGCACTAATGAATACTTGCCTGATGCCTGTTGCCTGTTGTGATTATCCAAGGTTTACTTCATGGCCCTTTAGTGAATACTTGCATATAGTGACATGTCGGAGGGTCTTTGTGAGCTATTTCTTGTACATCGTAATACTGTTCAGGATGCTTATGAAGTTTGTTCGGGATGCTATTTCTTGCATATAGTGACATGTCGTAGTTACCATTTGGTTTCCTTTAAACTTTTTCCATTTGCATGTTGTTCTGTTTAATGATTTCTTATAATGAGGCTGTTTAATTATTTCTTTTCTATTGTAATTTAGCCATTTAATTTCTTGGTAATAAAAGGGGTTGTTGTATCTCTTTTTTTTTGTCATCAGTAACCTATACCTTGAATGACTTGTATTAGAGAGCATCTGAAGATTATATACTGACTAGTGCTTGGCATAATATCCACAACTCATGGTAAAAGCATACACAGAGAAAAGGAATGCACAAATCACTAAGACAACTAGACCTGTTTAATTTCTCAGCGACACGCAAAGCACAAATAACAAAAACAACCGACATATGACGTTACAAATGATTAAAGATACAAAAACACATATACATATTAGTTCACTATCTGCATGGCCGACATATTACCCATTTGCTCAATCACACCTCAAAAACACAGATACATATTAGTTCACTATCTGCTAAGGAATGCTCTCTCTTGCAAGCAAAGGCCTTTGAGCTCTTTTGATAAGTATGTAAACCACCTAACGGTCCAGCCCCTGTAAGCCAAAAAGACAGAGCTATAAACCAAGTGCTGCTTATTTTGGAACAACATAAACAATAAGCTTTTCAAATTAGATGATATGAACACTTCAATTCAATTATTGTAGGTTATAAATGCAAAAAAAAAAAATCTAAACTATTCATTAATAAGTGGTCCATGCTACTCTTTTGTACATTGTCATGGTAAATAGTTGAGACTTGACATATGGCTGCTACTGTTGACTTTAGCAAATAAGGAGTTTACATAAGGTAGAAGAAATTAAAAGGCGTGTAGGATTTCTGTGTGTGAAGGAGTAGGATGCAACTAGACCTGTTTAATTTTATAGATTTGCTCTGCCAACCTTGATCAAACTTCACTCAATAGTGAGAACTTCATCTGTATTAAAAAATTTTAAAAACAAAGTGCTTCATCACATTAAAAAAATCACATTATATAAAAAAATGGCAATGTACAAGTTATTCCGTATGTATTAACCATTACCTTCCTCACAGGAATCTTCTAAATCATCAGTGGCTTCATCAATATTATCTTGTTCCATTGAATCACTAAAAAAATTGATGATAGCAAAACATATTAAAGATCATTGCACAAAATTTAAAAAAGTTTTAAAAAATAATAGCATTAGTAGTACTAAAACAAATGATACACTACCTTGACAACTTTAGAGGGCAATTTCTGCTATAATGATTTTGTCCTCTCTTTCCACACAATTTGCATTTCCTAGGCCGACATTTGCGGATCTCTCTCGATGGCTTTAACCTCTTCCCCTTAGGCCTTCCTTTTGTTCTTGCTTGACTTGGTTCATGAACCATATCTTGAGAGCACTCCGCATTCATATATTGTCCTTCCACATATTGTCCAATTTCTTCATCATTGATGAGTTTCAAATGTTGCACCTTATTAATAGCATACATCATCATTGCACGCATTAATTCATATGCATCATTAGAAGATAGCCCCTCTTCAACCATTTCATTGGCTAAGCAATTTAGTTCACTAAAACGAGAAGCAAAATTAATTGTGGCATTATCTCCAATAATATTACCATCTCTAAGAACAACCTTTTTTCTGACATTTCGGCACCATCTTCTTAGAATATATTGCTCCGGTAACTCACTATGATTGGTAATTTTAAGATATGCCAAGATATGTCGGCATGGAATGCCCTTGAATTCAAACATGAGACACGAACAACGGACCATTTTAGTTGTTTTGCAATATATAATATGTCTCAATCTTTCATCATGACCACAAAAATTCAATTGGAAAGTACTTTCTCTTTTATTTTCTTTTACCAGCTCAATGTTATACATTAAACTAGGTTGAAGCTCGTCTTGAAAAATATAAAAGATTTTTTTCATGTAGATTTAGGCCATTTGTTTTTCCATTGACCACAAAGTCTTCAATTTTGGTTTTTTCTCCACTGTGCAATGGTCTTCTTTAAGCTCCCCCTCTCTTTGTCTCGCCAAGACCCTCTAAAAGATGATCACGAAATCATGAAGTGAATTTTTCCTTGATACATGCATTTTTAGCAATACATTCATCCCTTCGCTTCTTTGACTGCTAGACATTCCAGCCCAAAAGTGTTGTTTATGATAAACCGGCGCCCATTTTTCACGAATTTCATAGATATCCTTTAGCCAATCATGCGTTTGCAATCCATTTTTCTTAAGAATTGAAACCCAATTCTCTTCAAAAGAGCTAGCAGTCTTGGAGTCCCAAATACTTTCTTTGAAAGGATTCATAAATTCCGTTCTATAAGCCCATTTACCCAACTTCTCCGGAATTTTGTCCAAGATATGCCAAATGCAAAACCTGTGCCGAATTTCTGGAAAAACTGTTTCAATTGCCTTGCATATGCCAAGACATTGATCTGTAATCATGCCCGAAGGAGGATGACCCATTGCTTCAATCCATTTGTTAAACAACCATACAAAAGACTTCGCCTCTTCGTTTGGGATCAAGCCACATCCTAAGAAAACACTTTGCCAATGGTGATTTATGCCTACAAACGGCACAAATACCAAGCCATATTGATTTATGTTATGCGTGGCATCGAAGGAGACAACATCGCCAAAGTATTGATAATTCATTCTAGCAATGCCATCCACCCAAAAACAATGAGTTAAGCGCTTCTCTTCATCAACGTCATAAACATAATAAAATGAAGGATTCTTCTTTTGTTCCGACTTAAAATGATCCAACATCATTGGTGCATCATGACCGCACCTCTCCTCTCTCAAATCTCTTTCATAATTTCTCACACCAGTCTCAATGCATCCAATTCTATGAAAACATCCGCTAGAGTTTTCAAAGAAGGTCATTTGCTTGTTTGTTGGTTCAAAGAAGGTCATTTGCATGTTTGTTGGAATGTTCACCTCTCCAAACTGCTTTATCAATATCTTTTTCGCACTTGTTACCTCACGGTTTCCCCTTAGAAAATGTGTTCTACTCGGTGAAGTAATTGTATGATAATGTTCTTCCACGAACTTGTAGACACTCCATATGCTATTGTTTTTGTCTAATTTCAAGCGAATCAAGGCCTTACAATTTGTTCTAATTGTACCACATCATCGAATTTCTAACGATTTGCTTTTTAACACTCCTTCTTTCGAACAAACAAAACTTTTGCCAATTAATTCTCTATCCTTCCCATAATTTGTTATGCTATTACGGATATCAAAACCTCCGGGCTTTCCATAAGTTCTGTAGAATTTTTCAGCGTCTTCTAAATTGCCAAAAGTCATTCCTATTTTTGGTTTTAAGTGCTCATCAACAATTGGCACAACTAAGTTATCCAACTGAGAGATTTGTTCATCAACAACATGGGAGCAACCATCTTCAGTTTCCATTGGATTGATGTAAATAAGCCTATAGAAACAAAAATACATTTATATTCAGGATTCTACAACATCAATATGCATAATTTATATTTAGAAAAAAATACATTTATTGAGTCTTTATCAAACTTTCAGCCCCCATTTTCACTCAACAATGCAACAATGCAACAATGTAAATTTCAACAATGCAACAATGTACATTTATATGTATTTGTATGCCTTTTTTTCTGAACATTATTCCCTGCAGCAAATCCATTACCCTTTCCTCTAGGTGCTTCTAATTTAGAAAATTTTGAGGGTTTCTTCTCTGTTCGTTCAAGCTTAAGTTACATGCTGAATCAAATAGATTTTCCTATCCATATTCGGAGCTTCCAGGATTTGCAGCAAGCCTGTTTTTTGATTTTGGGGGAAGGAGGGGGCAGCAAGCCTGTTTTTTGATTTTGGGGGAAGGAGGGGGGGAGGGGAGAAAGAGGGAAGCAGAGGCGAAATCCAATGACCAAGTCGAAGAGAGTGAAAGGGTATGGTTGGGTTATTACCTGCGTCGGCGAGAGTGAAAGGGTCTCCGACGGTCCTGGGGTGGGTTCCCTTCGACTTGGTCTTTGACGGGGTCTTCGACGCCGGCGCCGGCGAGAGAGAGGGAGGAGGGTCCTGGGGTGGGT